AAGGCAGTAGGTCAGAATATGAAATGTTAAAGAGGTTAACAAAGAAATGGCAGAATATTCCTTTCTCCTCAAGAAATGAAAGCACACACACACACACACACACACACACACATACATGCACAAATAGGACATAACACAGTATCGTGTGCTCTCTCTGAAGCTCTTAAAAAAATAAAGTAAGGCAAAGAATAAAGATAAAACCTTCAGTTTTTCAGGATCTTTCCTAAATGGAAAGATGGCTTTGTCCCACACTTTGCATGAACATAAAAACATAAAACAAATTCTGGTCCCAAGGATGGGAAAGAACTTGTAGACCAGTCTGTCACTGAACAGACCAAACAAACCACCGATTAAGTAGCATAGTTTTCATTTCAAGTGCAGACGCAGACACAGCAGTTTCCCCTCCAATTCTATTACCAACACTAATCTCCAAGTTCCTTCTGCAAAAATATTCCTTATGTGAACACCTCTTTAATAAACTCTCACCCTGTCAGGGGGCAAGGAGATCAAAGGATTCTGGAAGGATTATCTCAGATGCACAGTTGTTTTGGTACAGATACCAGGAAGAGCTAAATAGTTGTAATGTTATTACATAAATTCCTCTCATTTGATTTCTTACCCAGCTTGCCACAGATGGAAAGAAATTGGCTGTAGGTGCTGCTAAATTTGTGATACTAACCAACAGCTCTGGAAGAAGGACATGGCCCAGCCAATGTTCAACACACATCTCGTATGTGGCAGGCAGCAGAAACAACCAGGAAATGGATAACAAGGCCTTTTGGCGTGACAGAACCTCACATCCAAGAGGCCATCCTATATCGGGGCTTCCTGTAGCACTGCTGACCACATGGTTCCCTGACTGTAAGTGTTAAGACTTGACAATAAGCTAGTGATAACAAGGAAACAAGGCAGATTTCACTGTCAGAAAAAAGGCAGAGCTGTGCCGCTGAAAGGGTATCGAGCTTCTGAAATAGCAAGGCTTAACAAAAGGGAGAGGACAGCTTCTCAGAAAGAAAAACAATAAACACAGTTTGTTGTCTTCCAAGGAGATAGAACAAGACAAAAGCAGGAAGTGCTGTCCTTCCTTCACCCTGCCACGTTTTTAATGGAAAGTCAAGTGTGCACATCAATCATAAGAAGGGAGAAGAGGCCGAGGTGATAGCATCTTCAATTTTTAGTTGGAAGGAAAATACAAAGCTCTATCACAAAGGACGGTGTTCTTCATTTTGCTTTTTCGACTAGTCTAGTGTATGCCACACTATGAAGTAATTCCCACGGAAACACTCCTGTGCATGCCAAGCATGACCCCTCTTTCAACTTGCTGCATGGTTCATGCTCCTTGGCACCTAAGGCAGGCCTTCGGGCTGGAAAGAGAATGCTCTCCCATAGTTCTCCCAAACAAAGGTTCTGGGTCCGCCTTATTTAGGTCCTTCTAAGCCTCAACTGCCCTTGCTTTGCTGTGGTTACAAAGAATATTGTACATACTTGGAAAGTTAGAAGTCAAATATTTTTAAAAGAGTGGAGATGATTTGCCAGGGAATTCTAAGGGGATGGATACTAACCATATGCCCTCCAAATTTTGTATAAAACTAAAAACAATGAGAACAAATAATTTATTTGCACTCAATCTTGTCGTTGCACAATTAATTTAATATGTTCTCTGGTGGGCTCGGGCTATGATGTCACTTTCTGGGATAGAAATCAAATTTTGCTAAATTCTATTAAATGAAAATGAAATAATATATGCAGGCTGTCCTGAATTATGGACTTGGTTGGTTATAAAACTTGTTTGCAATTCTGTATTTTGGATACCAAAATTACATTTTAAAATAATAAAAAATATCAATGTTTGAAATAGTGGTTAATTCCAGGCAAAACTGCATACATTTATTTACTTCACAATGAATCTAAAGTATAGTATTATGTTAATACTGCTACAGAAGTAGTAATGTACAAGAAGAAATAATTATAGCTAACATACATCAATAACTTATAATGGGCCATAAAGTAGGCTAAAAGCTTTGCATATATTATCTCTGATAATTTTTACAAAAACCTGAGGGTACAGATGAGGAAAGTGAGCCTCAGAATGGCATTGTGACCAGCGCTAGATCACACAGTAAGCAAGGAATACAGACTTTGAGGGGAGGGAGTTGAATGCCAGAGATGACACTATGTGTCAAGAAACTTAGGCTTCTAGTTCCTGCTTCTTGTGGGGACCTGCACAGGTTACTCAATAACAACGAACCTGTTTTCTCAACTGAAAATTAGAGCTGGACTTACAGACTCTTCCAGCTCCCGTTTGTCTCAAAATTCTATTATTCCATTTGCTACATTCCACATGTAATCGCCTTTGAGTGAAAATGTATTCAGAGTTTCAAATTGGGATAGATTCAACATCCTTTCCCCCTTACCTGGTGGAAGATGGAGCTTATAGGAAGGACTTAGGAGTGGGGAGTGGGAACGTTAAAGGACACATGGGAAAGGGGAAGGGCATAGGGACTGTTAGGGAACCAGGGCATGTGAGGATTTTGAGTTTCCAGTTGGAGCTGTCATTGGTTTCTTTTGCATGCACGGGGTGATTGGGAAGTTTCTCTTTCTACATGGGGATTTGCTTCTTCCAGGACTCTATTCAACAGAACACACAGATAAAACTCCCTTTCTTATTCTCCTGTCCCTGAAACACGTACTGCCTAACCCCACTGAGGTTTTCTGAGTTTTTGTCTCCAGTAACCAAAGAAGTAGACAGGAAGTGAAGGGCTTCCTGCCATGTATCCATGCAGCCTCCTTTTTATTCTTTCTTTCCACTTCAACTTTTGTAGCAAAAGATTAAGATGTTGGGATAAATAAAGGATTGAAGGAAAAATCTATCTAAATTTTAGGGGTTGGGGGGAATTTAGACTCCAAGTTTCTTCAGCATCTCTCTTTAGGAAAAGTAAGAAGCTTCAGCAAGGAAATGAGATAAAAATTCCAGATTCTTCTTCCAAAATGCTTGGCTTTAGGAGTCAAGCAGAGGAAAAAAGGTGGGGAGTGCTGTCTTTGTGGTTTATGCCACTAATTAAGATGATGGGAAAGGACTGCCTTTCCAGTGTGATTTTTGTGGCAGGAGTTTCCTTTCAATTATTCCTTCTCTTTCCCATCATCTTATACATTTGTCTCTTTGCCCTGTAGTATGCTTTGGGAAGGTTTATAGGGAAATAGGAAAAGGAAGAAAAATTAGTGGCATAAACCACAAAGTCAGCACTCTCACCTCCTTTGTCCTTATTGAGTTTGTACCAAAACAAGTAGTTGGAAGTGATGATGTTCCAAGAACTTTCTAACTATTGGAGCTGTCCAAGAAGGAAATGGGCTATATAGAATATTGGAACAGAGCCTGCCTCATTATCTGCCTAAGATACTCTCAGGAAAAATCCTCACATTAAGGTGATCAGACTAGATAAACTTTACGATATGTACTCTGAGTCTAATCTTCTGTATATGAGTTTATATTCATGTTTGAATAGACAGCCTTGCTGAATCACCTCTCTCATATATTAATGCTCATTATTACCAGCCAAAAGACTGCTTTTCCAGCATCATTTTTGTGGCAGGGGTTTCCTTTCAATTATTCCTTCTCTTTCCCATCATCTTATACATTCGTCTCTTTGCCTTGTATGCTTTGGGAAGATTTATAGGGAAATAGGAAAAGGAAGAAGAATTAGTGGCATAAACCACAAAGATAGCACTCCCTACCTCCTTTAAGGGCAAACATGAGTTTTATTTTTGCATCCCTAGAACTTCCTATTTAGTGCACAGCAGATGCTCAATAAATTGTTAACTTAATGCAAAAGTAAATTAATGAATATAAACTATCTATTTTCAAATCTATAGAATAACTCTTCACATATCTGGTAACAATTATGATATGTCCTAAACTTTTTCTTTTTCAATTTTCTTTACTAGCCCTCTGTTGATCTAACTCTGGGAACCTATTATATTACGTATATGTGCTTTTGTAATTTCTTATATAGATTCAAAGGAAATAAAATAAAAACCAAAGGGTAATAAAAATCCTCTTATCACATCTATTCCTCTTTACTATTAGCCATAAAAAGTCCTTTGAAGATTCTATATAGCCTTTTCAAATATATCAATAATAAAATATATAACATGTGTTTATTGTAAAAAAGTGGGAAAATAAAATTCTCTCATAATTCAAGCTATTCAGGTACACCTCCTTTCAGTTATTTTTTAAAAACAGATTTTTAAACATAATTTGATCATACTACATAGATCATTTTATACCCTGGTCTTTAACTTAACAATATACTATAAACGTTTTCTCATGTTATTAGCAATTCTTCACAGACACTATTCAAAGTACTTATATTTCCTTAGAAGCATCCAGCTATTTACCAAACCAATACCTTATGGTTGTATAGAACACAATATATCACTACAATAAATAGAACTTAAGAAAAAAATAAATGACACAAATGTTTCCCACATATTTGCTAATCAGTTTAGGAGAGATTACCAGAGGTACAGTTCGAAAGGTCAAACGGTATACATTTTTAATAAGACTTGAAATACTCTCCCTCTAGCTATCTCTCTAGCCCTCAATCCTAGGTCAAATTCCCTTGTTATATGTTACTGCAACACTGAACAGTCTTCTTCATCACCATTTTGAATATCTTATATTTGTATTTCCTTTTAGACTGCAAACTGCAGTCAGGCAGGGCCACTGGCATAGTTCATACTCATACACTGAGTATGAACTATGCAGTGTTTTACTGCATAGTTCATACTCAGTGTATATTTTACTCAGCTGAGTATTGTTTTGCTTCCTTAAAAAGGTCTTTTGAACCAGTAAGCAGCATGTATCCTTGCATTAACATCCTAAAACTGAGATACTCCAAGTGCAGCAAAGCACTCTTGGTGTGAATGAAGCCTGAGACTTAGATGTCCTCCTTCAGATGTTAGGAGTTTACTGAGTTCAGTTAGCTTTGTCTGAACATTACCAGCTCTCGGGGCAGAAAGGATCCTTCTTGGCGGGCGATGACCAGAGATGCCGTCTCTCCCTGCTTGGTGCTCCTCAGCATGGCCACCAGCTCTTCCTGAGTTCGGCCAGTGACATCTCTGCCATTTACCTGATGAAGACAATCATAAGAGCCATCATGATTACAACACTTGCCATCTCCTTTTACCCTAATTGGTTTTTGAAAGTAAGCAGCAAATGGACTCCCCACAATCCACGAAGATCTGAAGTCATGAGTAGTGAACACATGAACCCAAACCAACCATGTTTAAAATAATAATAATACACCAACCACCATTCATTAAGGTGTTGGACAGCCTCAGAGAGCCAGTAATTAATGTAAGCAGTTTCTCCTAAGACCTTACAATCTTATGAGGGGAAAATCAATCTGAAAGTTACCAGAGAACGATTCTTCAAGTAAGAAGGAAGTGTATTGCAAATGCTTCGCTGGCACCATTTTCTGCCTCATGCAGGAAGCAGAAATGGACTATTATCATGTAGCAAATTTCTCTGGAAACAGCATCTTTTGTTATAGCGTTCTTCATGTTTGGAAAATTACAGTCATCAGGTCATCATAGATGATTGGGAATTCTCATTTGCAGCTGTGGTGTCACTCAGTACATCTATTTTCATGATCTAGAACTGCCTACAGAGCTATGTAGTGTTGCTTCTGTGCCATGAGGAAGTTAAATGGAACCAGCAGTTCCATTTAACAAAGCTGATTTCCTGAACGGTAAGCTGACAATATATATTTGCCAAGGAGATGAGGAGATGATGCTATCAAACAAAATTAAATGAGAAAAAAAAAAAAGCCTCTTGCATTGGGTAATTCCAAATTCTCCCCTAGAAGCATAGATCAACCAGAGACAGGCTGCCCCATTTTTAAAAAAAATTTAAAGAAATTGTTACCAGGGCTTGGGTGTAACTTTGAGATTCTTACCCCTAATTAAAGGAACTCTTAAATTTGATCCAAATCCCCCAGAAACCCTAAGAGGTGAAACTAAGAAAAAGAAGACTGAGAAGAGTACTCAGTGTAACTTGTCCCCGTATCACTGGTCTCATTGGGGGCTAACAAAGTTAGCCTGCTTTTTAATGAGTTTTATAATTAAAGTCTTTATCTTGTATTTAAATAATGATTTTTAATATATTCTATCCAAAATTTAAATGGTAATATATATGTTCATGTACTTATATATATTTTATTGAAGTTATTCATTTCAATTCTTACCTCCAAAATTCTGTCCCCGGATTGCAGGCGGCCGTCTTTTATTGCTGCTCCCTTTGGTAAAATGTTTTTCACAAAAATGGGACCAGGACCATGTATGGAAGAGTCTCTAGTGACCACAGTGAAACCAAGTCCTTCCGGGCCTAGTAAATAAGACCAGGAAAATGCAGGGTTACCGTGAGAGGAATAATATTATATTCAATCCTACACTAAAATCTACCTAATTAGACTAATGTAGAATAAGTGAAATAGTTACATTCCAGCAAATATTTTAAATAAGTTTCAGTTGTTCTAGTTTCAAATATAGATTATAGTTTCTGACAGGCTATGATGTCATCAAAGGGGATTTAGGGCCAAGTGCAGACATGTGACACTTTTGTTTAATAAGGAGGCCCTAGAAGAAATGCCACATGTTATTCACATTCGTGGGATACTGAATTCTCAGTTAACCATTAGAAGCAAAGGACCCTGGGACATGAGTCCTGCAGCACTCAATCAGCAGGCTCCCCTAAGGCCCTCTCTATGTGTGTCTGTCCCTTGTACACTGCAAATCACTGTCCCTTCACTCACTCTTGATGTTCCTGTCCTGCTTGCTTGCATCTTCAAGCTCTTGGTAAGGAGATGGGTTTTCACTCTATCTAAAGGTATGCTCAGATTTCTCTATCCTAAAGAGTTCTTAGTTTAATCTTACTGTTTCTTCAGTCTTCTAACGCCAGTGATCTACTTGTGAGTATATCCATTAATTCTTCCTATTCTTAATTTCCCCCCTTCTTTACTGTTGACATTTTTTTAGGCAACAATTTTCTTGAAATAACTCCCCCTTAGTCTCTGTATCTTTTATTTTTTGATTATTTTCCTACCACTATGATTATATCATGTCTGTCCTTCTCTCTCTTACCCACTTTTCTACCACAGCAATAGATGTTCTCCAAGGACCTGCTCTGGAACCATTTTTCCTCCAGACTCTCTGCTTTGCCCAGCTCCTGGCTCCAACTATCTTCTCCTATAAATGACACCTAACTGTCCTTGTTTGGCTCTAATCTCTCTGGTGTCGGCATTCTAGAAATCACCATGTGCATACTTTTACCAGCTCTTCAAAAGTCACTATGAACCTGTTCTCTGATCTAGATCCCGACCTTTTCAAACGTCCTCATCTACGTGAATTTAACATTTCTAGAAATGGCATCTCTATCATGCAAGCTGCTCTGTCTGAAACTCTCAGCAATAACTGTAATTTCTCTCTTTTGTCCCTCCTACATCCAGCTACTAAGGAATACACATTATATCTGAACACCTGCAATTCACCCTTTGTTGAGCCTTTGTTGTTTGGCTTCTTCTTTGGTATATCTTTTTACTGTCAGATTAATCTTCCCAAAGTACAACTGTGATGTTATATTCTTTATTTTTACAATCAAGGCTTTCTGATGGATTTTTTTAAGGCTACATTCTACTTTCTGATGAATTTTTTAAGGCCACAATCCTCAAAGCACATAGTCCTATATCTACACACAATTGGGTAACTTGTACAAAAAGCACTAATTATGCATTTATATAAAAAGCCCAATTGCTAAGCACACTGGTCTATTTGTGCTTTTCAGTCAATACATTTTCTTCCCAGTATAGAATTCTTATAGGGGGATGCAATTTTGACCAGAGAATCTTTCAGAATAATCTCTATTAAAGGTACATGTTATTTGTTTTGTATATATGTTAATAAGCATCCTAAAACTACTTATGATCATTAAATTATCTGCTAATTTAGACAAGAATCTATGAGATCTTGGTGTCTTTTGAGTTAAGTCTTAAAAATCATATATTATTATAAAAGGCTGCAGTGGGGAAAGGGAAGTTACAAAATAAACAAAGGCATGGAAATGCATGAATGCCTATGTTTATGATAATATTACATAAAGATGTATGTACATCCATGATCTAGTCTCATTGATCTGCATTTGAAATGGATAGAAGGATTGAAAAGGATGAATAAAAGGTTAGACATGCGTTTGAAATTAAGTATATTTTTAAAAATTGCTTGCAATGTTGAATCAGTGATATGACTAATTGTCACATGTTTGGTTTCTGAGGAATAAATTTTTTTGCTGGTCCCAAACTATGGTAGAGAACCAAAAACATATGTTTTCTGAGCTTGGCCTAAGGTTGTTTTAAAAGTCATGAATCTTGCTCAAAACAGGAACAATTGAATTTTGGTGTCTATTTAGTATTAACTTGTGCTACAATATTGCTCTGTGTCTATCAAGTTTGCAATGATTCTCTGCATTCCCCAGCATGTCTCCATTATTTTCTTGTTCCAAATAACCTACACTCTTCACAAGAAGAGATGAATAAGAAAGTACTACAGTTTTCAGAAATTTGTTATCTAAGTATACATTTAAATCCCTTCTTTGATGCAATTAAATGAAGGGAGAATTAACGAAATTAGCCTTAATGCATTTCTTTTAACCAATTTTACATGTTAATTACCTTTCTTAAGGTCAATCTTAATTTTCTTTGCATTTTTCTTGCTTCCAAACCCCATGAGAGGGGAGAGTGAGGGAGAGGATGGCTTTCTCCCTATTCTTGGTACTCGGGGGCTCTTGCTTTGCTGCAGGGAAGGTGACCCATCTTCTTCAGGGCTGCTTGTTCCGGTGAGATTCATGGTCTTTATTCCCAATCTTGTGTGGACAGGAGGTGGTGGCTTTGTTCTTGAAACACCATCATTGTTACCAAAAATGTTAAGAGGTCCAATGACTGATTTTTCATATTGTTCACGGTTTTGAGGGGGAAGCACGTGGAGGTGTACACAGGGAGCTTTCATTGCCTGGCGGAAGACGTCTTGAGCCCTTGAAGGAAAGTTAGGAAACATGTAAGGAGGCATGTAAAGAACTGAAGTTAGCAATGCCATCTCTAAAGCCCGCCAGCATCACCGTGATGGGGGCAGCATAGGCATAGGAGATGCTATCTCTACTAAGTGAGCTTGACTTTGCAAAACAAATACTAGTTACCACATATATCCTGCCTGTTAGGTATCCTGTACTAAGCTACATATGCATTAGTCTCTCAATCTTCTTTTTTTTAAAAGAATATATTTTTATTGATTCCAGAAACAGCAAGGAAGAGATAGAAACACCAATAACGAGAGGGAATCATCCATTGGATGCATCCTGCACACCAAACTGGGGATTGAGCACACAATCTGGGGATGTACCCTGACCAGGAATCGAACCGTGACCTCCTGGTTCATAGATCCATGCCCAACGACTGAACCATACTGGCTGGGCAAGTTTTTCAATCTTCTTAGTGACCATGTTAGCTCAGTAAAATTAGCTCTCATTTTGCAAAAATGAAAAAATTGAGGCTCAGAGAGATTAAGTAATTTGTCTAGGAAACCAAAGCTTTTAAGCATTTCTAAATCAATTCAGTAATGAATACTGAAGTAAATAGCAAAGCAAGCTTTAATTTTAGATGGGAAAATCATTTTTTATATTGATCAGATGATCAATTAATTCCCTTTTAGGACTTCATTCTAAAGTATAGGTTTTCTGTACCATGAGTTGTGTTCCCAAAGTTCAGTTTTGACACAAACGTTTCCTCATAGAGACATCTGGTAGGTGTGTGGGCTGAGCTGAATGTCACAGTGGGTTTAAATCCCATATGCACCCTCCTGTTTATTCTGGTCACTCCGTTGTAGACTACATATAGTTTTTACTTTTTTGTCTTAGCACTTTATATTTATCCTCAAATTTCTGACTACTTTTTCTTCTTCTTCCTTATGCCTTATGATGAGGTAAAATTACTCTCTTTCCCAGCTTTTCTTGCCAATGAGACACAAGTGAAGGGGTAGAGAAATTGGATTATCTGGGAAGCAGAGACTTTTTTGTTCTCCCATTTCTCTTTTCTATTTTTTGAAACTCAGAAGTGATGGAGGGAACTCCAGCAGCCATCCTGTGTTCCTGACACAGCTTAAAAGTGGCAGCCACACAAGAAGAATGTAAAGCAGAAAGAGGGAAGACGCCCACTAAACTGATGATGGTGGACCCACAACATCAATGTTGGACTGCCACCTCCATACTTTTTTCCCTTAGAAAAAATGAATGTAAATCTTGCATGAGCTACTTTTATTTCAGTCCTCTGTTACCAGCAGCCACACCAAATAATAATGAATCATAATTCCCACTGCCATCTGCTCCCACTCATCTTTCTGAAGTGCTGAATTGCCCATGAGGGTAGTGGAGGAAGAAGAAGATTGCATATGACAAACCCAGTGTCCTGGCCAGTTCCTTGACCAGGAGTCAGTTTCTGTTCTCAACTAACCCCATACTGAATTTTTATGAGCCCCAATTTCCACTTCTCAAAAATAGGGATGGTAATGTCTGCCTTACCTACTTATCAAGTCCTTATAATAGACAGTGGTTTATAAAAATAATATCATTAATAATGACTATAATTTTATCTATTATTCATTATTTTCAGAAATAGACAATTAAGGTTTCCTTTTCTTCCAAAGCAACCAGTGCTTGATGCTCCCTAAACCCACAACCACTGCCTGCCTCCCCTTTCCACAGACTATACTGAGAACTAATGGCCACAGGGAGGACATATTATGAGTTATTTTGATCAGAAACAAGAGATTGGTGATGATTACTAAGAAGTATTTATCGTACTTATCTTCTTAATCCAGAATCCCAAGGCAATGCCAGCATACATTTAAAAAAACACATGTAGACTGCTACATCTTCTAAATCTTTACTCAACAAACCTCTTCCCATCACATTTTCATGCACAGAGAAATGATTTCTTGGGGGGATATTTCAATTCCCCTCTTTGTTTCTATTATTCAGCGAGTCTGCACAGACATTCCTCACAGATATTTAGTTGAAGGAAGACGACAGATACCAAGCAAGTTAATTAAAAAGCTGAACTAACAGTCTGTGAAGAGTCATTAAATACCAGTTTAACTGACCCATATCCCAGGAAAAACAAACCCATCTATAGATGTCCCAGAAAGACAACCAGCTGGGAAGGTTGAAACCATTCCACAGTTTACCACTCATTCCTGGGGCTGTAACATAAGCTGCAATTAAAAATGGGTAGTCTTGGGTCACTCAAAGGAAACTGATTAAAATTCTACCTAGAATTTTGATCATAATGAACTCAGCAATGATTCGTAAACATTCTAGGCATCATACAGTAAATAAAACAATGAATAAAAACAATGCTTACTGAGCAAAGGTTTTGTCTGCGAGGTCCACCTGGTTGATCTTTACAATGCACTCATTCTCCTGAAACAGTCCTTCCTGCTTGGACCTGCTGTTTTCTTCAATGCCACGGATGAAGAGTCCTAGAATCCTAAATGCAAAATTTAGGTTGAAGTGCAACTGCAGAATAATAATATGCTCATTATTTCTCCACTTGCAATTATTCAGAAATAAGGACTAATTTTTATTTATGAAAAAAAAGGATGCTTTATATTCAAGTAACTGTCTGTTATTTAAATCCTAAGTGAAAAAAAGAAAGGACAAAAAACATAACTCACTCAAAAGAGAAAAATCCCTTCAAGACAAATAGACATAAATGCCTACCCAGGGTACATAAATCTACAATCCCATTTCTCGTGCTTATGGGAAACTTAGAAAAGACTCTGGTGGCTAAGTGCAATTGAGGATACCAAAGACTGGTGGTTTGGAGGAGGGCATCACAGCTGACTATAATACATAGTTAGTGCCAAGGAGGCAACTTGATTATTAACAGGAGAGGATGAGTTATTCACTGTAATGTTTTTGCAGTCTTACTATCTGTTTCAATGATTTGCATCTTAAAAAGTCAACATTTAAGCACAGATCTTATTGCTCCTTTTAGAAGGCAGTTTGGTCCCATCTATGAATGGAGTGAAACATCTGTCTTGTGTCTTCTATGTGCTCAGGAGGGAGGCATACAAGACAAGGTTGTAAGGCCAGGGAAATTGGTCAGTACATGCTTAGAGCAAAGCAGAAATTAAAAATCTGGACACTATCAATAAGCCTACATCCTTCATAGAAGGATGTGGGGAGAAAGTGGGATGAAACTAGGCCAGAAGAATGAGTAGAATTTGAATAGGAGAAAGAGAATCAACAAAAAGAAAGGATAAACTGTGTGTTTGTGTAAACTGGCCTTGTGTGAGGAGCAGTGTGGGAGCTAACACTAGTTGGGGCGGCCAGTGGAGGGGCCTTGAATACATGCCAATGGACTTATCCCAATAAGGTTGGAGTGGCACCCCCACCCCACCCACTGCTTCTGAGCAAGGCAATGTTGTGAGGAAGGAAGGGCTTTGGGAAGAGGAAATTTCAGCCAATCTGGATTCAGAGAGGATACCTGGAGGCTCCTGGTGTTTTGTGGTTGTGGCTTAAAGTCAGGAAGGGAAGGAACTGGAAAAGAAAGGAAAGGAGAAAGAACGACAGCAATAAAAACATAAGAATTGAATTTTATATGTATACTAGAGGCCTGGTACATGGATTTGTGCATCGGTGGGGCCCCTCGGCATGGCCTGCAGGGATCTAGCTGAAACCAGAATCCAACATCCCCCCCGAGGAGTGTAGTAGTGCTTGAATGGGCAGGTGGCTGGAGAGGAGCCGTTCTTGCTAATCTCGGTCAGCTGAATGGGGCTCCTGCTGTGGGAATGCACTGACTACCAGGAGGCAGCTCTTGCACAGAGCATCTGCCCCTGGTGGTCAGTGTGTGTCATAGCAACTGGTCATAGCAACTGATTGACTTAGGCATATATATATATATATATATATATATATATATATATATATATATATAAACTAGAGGCAGAAATTCATGCATGGGTGGGATCCAGCCTGCCTGCCCAATGGGGCCCATTGGGCCAGGCCATCAGGGGAGAGGAGCCATCAGTGGTTGGCCAACTGGCCCCACCACCAGGTAGGCAGGGGCAATCGGGGCCCAGATTAGGCTGATTGGCTGCTGCAGTCACGTCATAGCCATTGGTCATTCTGTTAATTCTGCTGTTCTGGTCTCTGGGCTTTTATATATATAGATGTGTGTGTGTGTGTGTGTAAATATGTTACATATCAGTTGTACCTAGAAGATATTAAGTTCATGTCTATAATAGATACTTCTCATTTGAGGATTTCCCTGTTCCTTGTGGAATGTCAGGGTCCTAGCTGTAACCAAGAGTGAGGAAGAAAGACCTTCTCCACGAGGAATTTGCCGGGTGTGGGGGAGCTTCCATCTCTTCTTCCCTGGTCCTCCTGTTTTTCTTCATCATCTCATTCTACAGGGGCCTCCTGTGCTAGTAGTATATAGCCTCTCTGCATTACATCTCAAATCTGAATAAGATATGAGTACGCTTTATGGGTGAATAATAGGGTCAGCCATGGACAAAGGGCTGCTAATAGACCTGGAGGAGAAAACCCATCTTCCTGTTTGGAACAGCCACAAACTGGAGCCTCTGCCGCCAGGGCCTCAGCTGGCTGAATGAGTGCATATCATCTCGATATGACAGTTGGGGAAGCACAGCAGTGACACTCAGATCTCTACTGCAAACATATTGGATGGATACAGTATGCAGGTGGAAGAGAGAGGACTGTAAACAGCCATACCACCCATTCAGGGAAGGCTCTGGGTCACAGGCTCAGTGTGTGGTGAGGTGTTATGCTTCCCTCCCCAGTTCCAGGAGGTCAGTAATTTAACTTCCCTCCCCAGTTCCAGGAGGTCATTCTATGTGGAGGAGGAAAGGGGCCAGGGTTGCTATTTGATAAAGGATCTTAGATTCAAAGGAATATTTTTAAGGCACTAACCCTACCTTAATCTAACATAATATTAAAAGCTGCACTCTTGGGCATGCAAAAATATAAAAGTGAAGAAATAGAACAAACTAGTGTTTCTTTCCTAAATTCAACAACTCTCTGAGAGTTCACATTTGGAGTTTTGTTATGGTGGATGCACAATAACATGATCCATTAGGAGACTCACATGTGGTTCTAAACTAGTTTATGTAAGTGATATTTTTTTAACAAGCATTCAAGTCTTCCTTTAATTTAATTCAGTACATCATCAGTCATGTAATGCTACTCCGTAGGATTTAATTTCACATTTTGGGAGATGAATTAATTCTTTCAGGCCACTGGGTTGCAATTTAGCTGGCATTTTACAGCTGGGGCATGCTATGTGACCCTTGCTGATCTAAATAATCTAACTCTCCATGAAAAATTTATTGACAATATAAGCCCAACTCTAAAAGCCATGTGTCAGAGGCAATTTTGGTAAAAAGTAAAACTGCCTGATTTTTATGAGTTTGGTCCCTGGCAAACCATTCCTGCTTCTCTGTTCCTTGGAAGGAATGGGTTCCTCCAGTTTGATTTCATGCAGAGTATGAGAGACTCAGAAAAGAATCAGAGTAATAATCCACTTTGCCCTAAACTGGTGGGCTGCATTAGCTGTCTCATTTGAGACCAAGACTCTCAGGATATAATGATTAATGCGGTCGAGGAGTTATAAGCTGAGATAAACAGGCTAATTTGCATTAATGAGCAGAGATAAAGGAGGCTGAAATCCATAGTCCCAAAGAATCAAAGGGGTAGCAATTGCTTCTTGGTCTTCTGAGAATCACTTAGGCACTAACCCACCCTTTCCCTGGCTGCCTCACATTTTTCCCACTGTATCACATGGCCTCCACCACTCTCTCAGCTTAGCATTTTGATCTACACATCAGTTCTCACATTTTTGCCTCTCTTTACCCTCCCCTTCCATCTTCTCTCTCATATTTAGCTGTCCTTACTATGAAAATGAGCTATAGTATTTTTATTTACTAAAAATCAAAGAGATTCAATGACTTCACTTATAAAACAAAACCATGTTGATTTTTTTTTAAAAACGAAATAACATTGCTTTTTTACTTGCCAAAACTCAGCATATATATATTTGTTTGTTTGTTTTACAGTGCAAGCCAAGAGCTCTCCATACAAGCAGCATTCAGCACCCTGTGCTGTGATAGCTAATGAATCCATTGAGGCTTTATCTAACACAACAGCCACTATATTGTACTCAGGGTGTTCTAGCTTAGATTAGGTTTCTAATTCAACAACAGGTGTGGCAATATTTTTCTAAAAAAAAAAAAAATTGGAGGCAAAGCCAATTACAGTAGTCCTAGTAAATAATTAAATGTAAATTCTAATTTAAAATAATGACACAGACCAATAAATGGAAGGAAATTAAGAACTAAGTATACCACTTTGACCTTAGCTCACCTCACCCCCTCTCACACAGCGAAACCATATGGCGTTATGAAGTCAGACACTTGTCAGACACGCTCTATACCCAGTTGCATCTAGACACATGGGTTGAGTTAAGTGTGCTTTTTCAGCCTGTACTCATTACTTCTTAACTTTTATTGGCTCATGTCTCCACATCCATATTATTTTTTTTATGTTTTAAAATTAAATTTCCTTTCTATAATACTGGTGGATATCCAGGAAAAAAGTGACACAACTATTTCACTAAGTTACTGAACAGTTGACCATGAACTTATAAAAGTTCATTGTTGAACTAAGCTTTTCAGTTTTAGCCAAAATAATAATAATACTGACCATTTACACATTCATATGGTGTGCGCTTTACAAGGGGCTTTCACATTTTTAATGTCATTTAATCCTCATAACCTTGATGTGAAATAGGTATTCACAAGAGGCAAATTGAGGGGACTTGCTCAAAGTTATAAAAAGAGAACACCGCGATTTGAATCCAAGTGTTCTGAATCCAAGCCCAAACCTCTTTCCACTATTCTACAAGACTTATGGTAGAGAAGTGAGAAAAGGAGGGAAAAGGGAGGAAATCAATAAATTCCAGTGAGTTTTTCTCACTTGAAGTGAGAGAAGGTGATTGCTGGTCCAGAGGGTCAACCTGTTTTCCAAACCATTGAAAATGAAGTGTGCTGATTGTCACGTTGTAGATTCCCTCACGTTTTGGACATTGGGGTGATGGTGTGTTCTAGCCCAGCTTCATTAAGCTTAAAGGGCCTGTACTGTAACCCCTCTGGTATTTCACAAAGCTCTACCCCTGCACTTCTGCCAAAAGCCATTAGACTTTCTCAGGACAACTGGGTAAATACACTCGTTGTCTATCAAAAACAGCCTCCGCTTGTCCTGTGCCATCACCCGTAACATTTATAAACACGCTTATTAACACATACAGGAAATGAGACAATAAGAGCCACTGGTTTTTCAGTTCATTTCTTTTTCAGGAACATCCATTCTGGCAACAGCTTGGCATCAGCTGTTATTTGCAGAAAAAAAGGTGATGACTTCGCAATTACAGGTAGCAGATGGCTACCTGCTGAAAACGATGCCAACCAAAATATCATTCCTAAACCTGCTCTTCCTGCTATATGGCAGCCTGAATTGAATAAATATTCAGAACCAGTAAATTAATACTAAATAACCTTTGGGAAAAGTTCTATTTTAGATAAAGCAATGGGGTGAGAGCAAGTCCGGAGATCTGGATTTTGTACGACCTTGAGAAAATCAACTCACTTTTCTCCTCTTTGGTCTCTTAAGCTGAAATCTATCCAACTGGATACTGATGGAAATTAAATGTGTACCAGAGAGCTAATATTAATGCTGTTATATCAACCATACAAAACTAGTATTAGATATTATGTCACTTTTCAACAAGATAGTGCCTTTAGATTTGTATTGACAAGGACTCTCAAAAACTTAAAAGAAACTCAGTATTTCATATGACATGATTTTAAGTAGTTTGCTATATTTGTTTTCTTAAGTTAAATGCATCATCAAATATCAGAACACTTTATTTCATCTCAGGAGACCAAAGAGGAGAAAAGTCAGTTGATTTTCTCTAGGTCGCACAAAATCCAGATCTCCGGACTTTCTCTCACTCCATTGCTCTATCTAAAATTGAACTTTTCCTACACATTCATGTGTTAGAATATCCTAGACATACATTTCAATAAATGCCTACACAATCTAAATTAACATTCACCAGTGTAAAATTTTTAAAGGATGTGGTTAATTATTTGTAATCGATCACAATTCATATTTTTAAAGTAAATAGCATGATAGCATTTTGCTACTATAACTAACATCAACAGAACATGCACAGCTTTTGATCTGATTACATGTTATACTATTTATTATCTTAAAAATCTATATTCCTGAAAAATATTTTTAAAAATATCAGTTTGGAATTACTATATTCACTTGTTGAAATGTATTTTTATATAACATGAAAAAATTCAGTTGCAATATTCATCTAACAATACATTAAAATCTTTTCTAAGGATTTTGTTTACTACATATTACTGATAATACATAAAGAGAGTACTTCATAATTAATTATAAAATCAGGGACTATGATTGTTTTTTTTTTCTTTTCCATTGCATCTTAGAAATAAATGATTTTCTTTTCTTTCTAACACATAAGTGGCCAACAGAAGTACTATCTTGAGGTGTCCATCTGCATAACAAAGATACACACTTAATTCTCTTCTGAGAAATGTTTGGGCAAATGAGCTCTGGTCAGGGTTTTCATTAGCATGAGCTTCTGCTAGAAGAAGAGCATCTTACCTTCCACTCAGAGAAGAAAAGAAGGGCACTACATGTATTCCCAGGGGGCCTCCTTCAGCTGAAATCTCCACTGTTCTGGTCAGATCACTGGGGCAGAAAAAAAGAACACAGATGAGTCTGCTAAAAAAAAATACAGATGAAGCACATTAAAAAAAAATGATTTTAGGATTATATCAACTTCTATAAACTTAACAGCACAGATAAAATCAAAGGAGTGCATGATTTACTGATCATGTTCAGAAGATTCGGGAAATAAAATGCTTCAAAGAGTTTCTGATTTCTTATTTTTTTCTCCTAGAAGAGGAACAAATGGAAATGACTACCTACAAAAATAACTTCCTACTTAATCTACATAAATCAACATATTTAAAAGGATATGCAAAAAAATAAAAATTTTTCCCCATTGAGACACACTTGAAAATTACCGTGTAGATGGTAAAAATACATAGAACTAAGCCCAGCTTTGAGTAATCATGAAGTATGATTTTCCCCCAAACAGAGGAAAAATGAAATAAAATATGTATTTAATAGAAAAATCAAAGAATTAGATTTTACAACTGTGAAGCCACAGTTGGTAATATATATATATATATATATATATATATATATATATATATATATATGCCATGTCCAAAGCATTATAAATCAAAATTTAAAGTTGCCTTCTAATAAAGCATCAGTTGTATTCAATGGAACAATTCCAAATTTTTACCTCTGTACATTTTTTAGAGGTAGAAAAAAATTATAAAGCCTGGAGAAAATGTATTACAGAAAGAAATAGAAAGGCTGACCTGACTAACCTACTCCAGATTAAGGAGAGGAGGAGCTAGAAACATTAACGGATAGTGTGTATGACTGAAATATAGAAGACCCTGGGAGCTTTTGAGTAATAAAATGTGGAACTAACACGTTTTTATATAGATGGGAAATAATAACCATGAACAATTATTGGCTCTTTTAATCCCAGAGAGAGGAAAATAAAATTGCCAGAGGAAAAATGATAAAGTTAAAGCAAACATCCCAGTTATGGAAATTGTAAGCAGGTTTCTATTGTTTTCTATTTACATGAAAATGACCTGAAACTAGATGTCAAATTAAGAGCTACAGCTGCTTACAAATGCATTCCTGCTCCAAATTGAAAATGTTGAAATTTGGCTTCTTGCTGTAAAGTTGAGAACAGCATTAAGACAGCAAAAGCCTGATGCACTCTCTGCATGAAATATTCTCTAAATTATCAGCAATCTAAAATAAATACATTAAATATATTCTCATCAGAGGATTAGGCTTAATTTTTAATGTGTTTTCATTGCAAACCTATTATCATTAAGAACGGCAAAAAAAAAAAAAAAGAGCATGCCAGTTTCCAACATTTGTGGGAATATGATGGAATTTCAAATCTGATAATAAATTTCAAATGAGTTTTGCTCAGATATTGCTAACATATTTAAAACTTGTTCAGTCAAGCAGGTTATAGCAGATGCTTGGAATGAAAGTTAGAAACAAAACAAATCTTAGAGTGATAATATCATGGGATAAAATAGATTCTGCTCTGTACCCTCTGTGTGAGAATATGGACATTATATGAATATATGTATATAAAATATGAGGCAAAGGGATGCATTGTAAGTCATGAATAGAAATTGTTTGGTGGGCAGAGAATGTTAGATAGCTTTTAATGGACCACAAGGCAATCATCTTTATATAATAACTGATATATAGTGCATTTGGAGGTATTTGAGGAAGACTAGACCAAAACATTCACATTCTAAGGTTACAGTATTGGTTTAAAGACTTTTAAAAACAGAGACTAAAGTCTCATTTAACCATTGAAACTTTATTATCTCAACCTTTACAATGTACTTTTATACTTTTGCACTTAGAGCATAACACTTATCTTTCCTAATAAATGTATTAAGTACCCACATGCTGATAGATGGCACTCATATGTATTATATAAAGGTTTTTGGAATGCAAGTGTTTAGTCTAGTATAGACTTTGAGATTTCAGCTTAAGAAGTTTTAGAATGCCTTTATGGATTCTCATTTTTTCTCTTTCACAAATATTTCTCTACCTCCCTCAAAACCCCTGTGTAAACTTAAGTTCTATGCTTCATATTGATGTCTGTTCTTTAATGATTATCAGTCCTGTATTTTTATACTCACTTAATAAAGTAAATCTTATAATCTGTTAAAGAAATCAATCTTATTTCAAATACTAACTCTTTTAAGGTTCACTTCTATTTTATAAGATTTCATTTTTCAACATTTCAGAATGAACTTTTATGTTATCTTTATACAGGACAGCATACTTTTTTGGCTAGAAGGATATTTGACAACTGTTAAATTACTACTATGAAAATGTTTTTATATTAGAAAAAAACAAGACTTTCAATTCCGTTGACTGTAATATGCAGGCACTTACAGAGAATTTGATCTAGCTAATATAGACAAGCATTGTAAGCTTTATGCATACCATGGCCCACCATGCTCTTTATAAATTGTTATCTGTTATTCATTTCAAGATAGAAAGAAACGCATTTTAAAAAGGGAGCCTCAGAGACTAGTACATACATTTTTATTTATTATTTAAAAATCCAAACCTCAGTATTATATAAATTTGATAGGGTTCCATAGAAATCTCTCTATACATCATTCATGGAAGATAAACATAGCAAGTAGGGCTGGACACAGTACCTCATAGAGTGAAAATATTCTATCAACACTATCTGTTTAGATAAATTATGGATCAGAGTTCAGGGACCATTGAGCAGGATATGCTTATATTTATTTATGTACTAGAGGCTCAGTGCACGAATGCACTGGTGGGGGCCGTTGGCATAGCCTGCTGGGATGGGGCCCAAACCAGCAGTCCAACGATGCTGCTGCTCCTGCGCACCCAGACCCCATTGCGCTTGCCACTGCCTCTCAGTAAGCTCACTGCCATTCCGCTGTGGTCTCTGGGCTGTGGTGGCCATCTGTGAGCCCTGCATCTGGCACCTGTTCAGCCAGCTGAGGGACACTGCTGCAGTGGGAGCATGCTGACCACCAGGGGGCAGCTCCTGCATTGATCGGGTACCCCCTGGTAGTCAGTGTGTATCATAGTGATCAATCGACCGGCAGTTCAGCCATTCGGTTGCTTAGGCTTTTATATGTATAGATGGGGAGAGGGGTTTAAGAGTGGAAAATGTAGAAAATAAGGTGGAAGGAATATCCTATCAGTAAAAGGAAAACAGGATTAGATGCCACTTGTGAAAACAGACAAAAAATGAACTGTGGGGTAAAGGAAAATACTCCAGTTAAACAAAAGTAAAAAGATTTCACTACAGTCAAAAATAGCTGAGTTGACACAGCTTTCTATGACATACTTAAACAGAAGCAGAAAGTTACAACACATTAAGTCCAATAGTATTAACAAGATAAACATTCTAAGGTCCAGTTGACAAAACTGATTCAATAATCACTGGAACCAGCTGCTACCTTTGTAAGACTTTAGGACAAAACGATGGGTGGAGATGCAGAATCAGTGGTTATAAATGAGCTGCTTTGCAAGAACTAGATGGAAAGTGTTGCCTTTGGTTCCACCACGAAGAGAGGAGTACAGCTTGAGAGAGAAGATACAACAGGAGCTGTAGGTCTAATTTCTTCACTCCAGGCAAATAGACAGCATTTTTAACATTACAATGATTTAACTCAGTTAGGCCACTCTCTTAGAGTAGGGAGGAGACTGGAATGGGGGGAGAGATGGGGAGACATCTTGGTTCAGAAGGAAATCATGATTCACTTGTGAAATTAAACAGGAAGTATATCCTAGTGGTGATGTTAAGTCAGGTGTCTGAGTAGTAAATCATTTAAATTAAAACCAAAAGCATGTTTCCTTATTTGTACAATGGGAAATTAAGATAAGTCTCTAGTAGAGTTGTTGGTTTTAAAGGAAAAAAATAGAGAAGCTAACATATACATCATATATCAGTATCTGGCATATACAAGGGGACCAATAACTATCAGCTATTAGTATGATTATTTGAACGTTCTGAGGGAACAAGTAAGCTTGTGGATTAAAAAGGAATAATCTCTTTTAAGCTTTACAACTTTTCTCAACTTATTTCCTTTGTAGGACTTGTTAAATAAATCTTCTTAAAAAAATAAGTATTTACTTTAGGGCTGAGGAACCTTTCTTCATGATCAGACTGAAGACAGAGACTATGATAGGTGGATAGAAGGCAGCAGTTGGTGGTCTTTAGGGACTGATGCCCAAGTCTATCATGTACAAGGACTTCGGAGATAGACATCCCAGAACAGCTTGTATATGGGACTGAAGCCCACCTGATGTAAATGTTCTGTTAATGCAAATATACTGAGTAAACATCTAACAAGGAATTTGCTGTTGATGGTAGTGGAATTCACTTAATTTACTTGAATTCAACAACTAGTGAGGAGTTCCAATGGGGAAATTCTATCAGGAAAAAATAAAAGCCTTAGAGTTCATAATCTAAGAGGCAGGTTAAGAAAGGCAATAAAAAGAATACAAAACAATAAAACAGAAACAGTAGTAACAGTGTGTTCTCAGTGAAAGCAAGGAAGCTCTAACTTGGAATGCCTGTGCTAGCGGCATGCTTGGTATTGTAACATGTACTCGTATCAAATGTGTAAATGCTTACATCACTCCCATAATATAGCTAAGTAAACTGATTCTTAGAGAGGCTAAATCATTTGTCCAACATCATACCAGTCAGGCAAGGTAGTCAGGACTCAAATTGGAATTTACTGCATTCCAGATCAGTGGTTTTAAACCACTATGACATTTTTCAAATTGGGGGAACTTTCTCATGAGACTCAGAGGAAGAGGATAACAGGATCAGAGAGGGAAACTGGAACCGGGAAAATCTTCTGGGAGGAGGATGTATTTGAGATGGGCAAATACATTGTTAATCCAGAGTTAGCAATGTGGGGCATGCACACAATAAAAGCATTCTGCACTGAAATTATGAACCAGAATGGCATGGACACACAAATTGGGGATCAGAGGGAAGGAAGGAAGGGAAGATAGAGTGAGGGAAAGAGGAGAGAAGGGGAAGAGAAAGATAGATTGACTGATTGTGGTGGGTAGGAGATAAGGTTGAACCATTAGTTTGAGATCAAATCTCAGAATGATATGTCAAATTCTACACTGAAAAATTCACAATGTTGTAGAAAATCCAGTAGCTAAAGGAGCATTGTGATAAATGCTGTGGTTAGTTTTATATAAGTGGCAGTGATATGTGTGATCAATGAGAAAATGGAAAGACATGGTAGAGATTGGTACTGGAGACAGGAATTAGTAAATTTTGCAAGAATCTATCTGACAGGTAATAATGCTCGAGCATTGATTACAGGATAATAGCACAAGAACATGGGGAAAGGCTCACAATATTCTCAGATGGGCTCTGCCAGTAATTTGCCAAATGAATGAATATTAGAGGCAAAGGAGAAGAGGGGATAAAAGGTGAGGGCAGTTTTAAGCTAGAAAAGAGGCAAGACTGGAGGAGGCACGTGGGGGGAGAGGAGTGCCAAGAAGTAAGGTCAGGTCAGGAATAAGATAGAAATTAGGAATGAGGTGAAGGTCCCTGGCACCCACCACTTGCTCTTTAAAGAGAAGCTAAAGTGGAATTTTCTGTATAAGAAAAATCATCCACTAGGCACCTCTTTCTTCATTGTCTTCTTAAGATCAAAATAATTGAATAATGCTTCATCAGATACTGTATCAGATAGATACTGTAAGACTATTTGTAGACCACCCTCTCACTGTCATTTTCCCCCTCTAAATAAAGATGTTTGTGTTAATAATGGGAAAGCAGTTAATTATATTTATGATTTGTGGGGCAATGCATTTCATCCATTCAGTCATCCAGTTAACAAATATGCTGTTTTGTTCCAAGACCTATTCTGGAGAATGCTGACCAGATAACTCAGCTTTAAATGGCCTCATAATTTCTCTTCAGCTGCTGCTTCATCATCCCATACCAGCTAGAACCAGTGTCTTTTCCTAGAACTGCTACCTCCAAGTTTTCCCTGCTAGCTATACACTCCATTTGTTAAGATCCTTCGCACCTGAGAAGGTGAACAAAACAGGTAACACTGAAGTTAAAAGCTTTGGGGAAAGGGGTGATGGATGCAGATTGGATCTCTGGAGTTAATTGTTCTAAACTTTGTAATTCCTCAGCCTCCTAGAGGTAAAGATATAACTCACGTGAAAGCTTGTATTGATATATTTTAGGTAAATAATATTCTTTTTTTAAATTCCTTAACTCCATTTGCCTCAATTCCTCATATCTAGCAAAAGCTTAGCTAATTTGTTCCTGCAGTTGTAAACCACACACTTGTTTGCTTTATGAAAACTATCCACATAACGTTTAGCCAAGATGTTAGCAAACTTCAAAAAGCAAACATTACAAAAAGTGAAATTAAAGTTAAACAGAATTAAGAGTATTACACTCATTATGCCTGCCTCCAAAAACAGTATTATCAAGCTTCTAAAAAGACATGGCCCTGGAGATTTTCAGTACCAAATTTTCATTATTGTGCAGCTCATTAGTCAAAGAAACAACCTATATGAACAGTAATGATGTCACATGGCTATCAATTATGAGCTTGAGGAAAATCTACACAGTAAAGCAGAATAATAAAGGATGATCACACATATTTTAAAAGCCAATGCCATGTCAAATGCTTGGCACTGATTAGTAACTGGACTGGATTAAAGGAAACTGTTGGCTAAATGAATGAGTGACCATCAACTTCAGAAGTATCACCTTCTAATGCTAAAGCCAAGCATCTATTAAATATTGAATTCCTTTCCTTATGCAAAACTTAAAGCAACTTAAAACATGATACTCATCATGATGGTAGTAATGATAATAGTAATATAGACAATGATAATTACATTATAGTGGCAGCAATAATAGCAAATACTCACAGGGCTTACTCTGATCCAGGCACTGTTTAAAGTGCTTTACATATATTAATTCATTTAGTCTTCATACCAATCCCCCGATGGATTTAATATTATTTATTTTACAGCCCAGAAATGAAGGCAATGAGAGATGAGTGACTTGCCTAAGCAATTAGAATTAGTAAGCAGTAGGGCTGGGAACTGAACCCATGTAGTAGCTAGGGCAGAACTGGAAATCAGTGCTGAGAAAAGAAGTATTGGTAAACATGAGAGCAACTGACTTCATATAATGTTACATTAAAATTATGAAAAATCTTGGTTGATTGGCTGGGTTCATTTTATATACATCGAATAAAATATTGCAAAAATAGTTAAAACACAAGGCAAAGCAATATTCAAAGAGTTAACATCAAAGTAAAACACTCAGCCAAACTGAACTTTGATAGGTGTACTTTAAACTGCTGTTCCAAGAGAAAGCAAATGCAATTATGATATCCAGCTTGCAGAGGAGTTGGAAGAAGGGAGGATCATTTGTATATGTTTGTCTGGAAGTTCTCATACCATATAGAGAAAATGAAAGAACAGAGTAAGTAATTTTTGAATTGTGATAGGTTTCATTCCGCTATTCTAATCATCTTTATCTTTCCTAAAAATTAAAACATCTATAAACCAATAAAAAACAAACATAGAAATGAAAGAAAATATTTCATTCACATGAACAGAATACCTTAGTGCATCCTTAATTTTTGGCGATGTCAGTAGGTCTGTTTGCACACCACTCACAACTTCCCCATCTTCTAAGTTTTGTGTGGAATCCTGTAGAGAAGCAAACACATAAACATGTGGATATTTTGCATATAGAATTGAAAATTTGAATAAAATGTCTCAACATGAGAGAGTAAGTGGTTATATACAGCATGCTCCAGTTTTTCTGAAGACTGGAAACAGGTGTTAATCTTTTCAGGGCATTCAATGTTCTTTTCTCTCCCATTTGATTTCTGAAATACTCAAATGGGCCATTTACACAAGGCAATATGTTAAGAGCTTAGGAATACATCATTTAGCTTCCTCCTACTCAACTATAAGCTTTAGGGACTGAATGTTTTCAATCAGCAAGGTAAAGGGGTACCAAGGGGAAGGAGTCATTGACAGGTGGTGATGTATTAGCTTTAATGTACTGTACTTGCTTGCACCTCATTCCCCAGTGACACTAAAACATAAAGAAAGCAAAAACCATGGGGGGGAAATGTTGCCTGGCAAGGTCACTTCTGTCAAAAATATAATAGGAATATTGCAGAAAAAGAAATCTGGAGTTCTTCCTTTGCTATGAAACTTTGATGCTAACGATGATCATCACAGAAACCAAAATGAACCATTTAACTTCTAAAATGGTAAACACTCTTTGCTACTGAGAGGTAAGGGGCTCAGAGAGGCCCTTTCCCCCAGGACAGTGGCAACGGTGAGTTGATGTCACATAGAGGAGAGGATAGATTCTGGAAAACAGGCCTTATATAGATTCCCACTTATGTAAGGCATTAGTTCTCCATTAGGTTTTGGAACAGAACTTTAATAGAGTAGTTCTGCAGATGCACCACTCCTCAGAAGCAGGGTCACGAATAAATAGCTTTAGTTATGGACTCAGACTTCAATGACACAACAAACCACATGGAGATAACCCTCTACCAGCAAGGCTCCTGTAAACAGAGCACTCCTGGATCGGAATGCACCATTTCAAAAACAACAAAGGACAACAGTTAAGGGCTGGCCACAACAGAATTAGTTAATATCTTGAAGAAAACAAGACACAGCTAAGCTGAGGCATTTTGTCATAGTGCATTAAGTAAAAACAAACAAGCAAACAAGCAAAACAAAACAAATCACAAATATATTTCACTTTTAGACTGAGTAGCAACATTTCATTTAGGGACTGGTAGTTTTATGAAGGACTTGGTTTAATAGATTTTTTAAAAAAATATTTGTTTTGCCGAGACTGGTTTGGCTCAATGGATAGAGCGTCGGCTTGGGGACTGAAGGGTCCTGGGTTAGATTTCGGCCAAGGACATGTACCTTGGTTGCGGGCATATCCCAGTAGGGGGTGTGCAAGAGGCAGCTGATCGATGACTCTCATCTATGTTTCTAACTCTCTATCTCTCTCCCTTCCTCTCTGTACAAAATCAATAAAATATATAAAAAAATATTTGTTTTGTCCTCCTTATAGAGATAAAAGAAGAAAAATCCATAAGACTAAAGAAAGAGCACTTTTTAGTTCTTTCAAATCTCAAAGATAAATGTCTTTTGAAAGCTTTCAAACCTGGGCATATGAATATGAAGGACTAGATATATGCTTACATAGAAAAGAGAGAGGATTGGGGAGGTTACAAAAATACTTCAGAAGGCAATTTAACAAGATATTTGCATTTCTGACTATCACACGTCAGAACATCTGGAGACAGCATCTATGTCAAAGCCATTCACTTCCTTGTCTGCCTCTTTCTCATGAGAGGGAGCTCCATGAGGTGTGAGCCTTCATCTATGCACGTAGATATTATGCACCAAACATTCTACATATTATGCACATAACAGGTAACAGTCTTTGTTGAAGAAATGTTAATGGATAAAAGAGCCAAGGGCTAGTGTGTTCCTTTTGAAATGCTTTTTAATAAATATCTCAAAATTTAATGGATTAAAAAGATAAGCATTATCTCTCCAGTTCTGACAAACAAAGACTTAGAACCTGCTTGTCTGGACAGTTTTGGGCTGGGACCCCTCAAGGTAACAGGCAAAATGTCAGCAGGGCTTCAGGAGCAATCCTCCAAAAGCTTGACTGGGCCTTAAGGCCTACTATTTTTTCTTATTAAAGTTTTATCCTATATAATAAAGAGCTAATATGCTAATTAGAACGACAGTCTGGATGACATTCTGGACAAAGCTGGGTTGCAGGGCCTGCCTAGGCAGCCCGGCTGTGAGAACCGAGCCCCCTATACATGAGAATTCCATCATATTAACATCTTTCTTTTATATATATAATTTTTTTTCATTCATTTCAGAGAGGAAGGGAGAGGGAGAGGGAGAGAGAGATAGAAAGATCAATGATGCTAATCATTGATCAACTGCCTTCTGCAAGCCCCCACTGGGAATCAAGTCCAAAACCAGGGTATGTGCCCTGTCTAGTAATTAAACTAGGACCTTCTGGTTCATAGGTCAATGCTCAACTACTGAGCCATGCTAGCTGGACTAAATTCTTCCTTTTAAAATGTATAATATGGTCATTTTAGCTTTTTCACAGAGTTTTGCAACCAGTAGCACTAATTTTATAACAATTTCAAAGCCTCTTAAAGAAACCCCATACCTCTTAACCCTCATTCTCTTCTCCTTGCTCCCTGCTCTCTCACAGCTCCTCACCCCCACAGCACCTGGAAATCAATATTTTTGTCTCTAAGGATTTTCCTATTATGAACATTTCACATAAACAGAATTATGAGGTATGTGGCTTCAATGTTCTTGTAATGTTCTCAAGACTCTTCCATGTTGAAGCATGTATCAGTATTTCCTACAATTTTATGGCAAAATGGTATTTCATTGCATAGACATACTGTGTTTCCCCCAAAATAAGACATCCTCCAAAAATAAGACCTACTTACAGGTTTCCTTCTGAGTGAAATATAAGGCATCCCACCGAACATAACCCCCCCCCCCCAGGCTCTGTCTCAGAATGCTATTGCTAAACATAAGAGATTTGGTCCACTGATTCTGAAAGAAATGCAGTCACAAGAAATTCACCAGGAAATTCAGGAACTGGATTGTTATGATAATGTTCCAGAAGGTGATGACATGATTGTCATTGAATAAATGAGTAAATTCTTGATACTGTAGGATTCACAGTTTGTCTGGTTTGTGTTGACAACTACCATACTACCGTACTGTATACAGGTAATAAATTTCCTTTATTTTCATTTAACAATAAATGTGTACCGTATTCTTCTTCATGGAAAAATAAGACATCCCCTGAAAATAAGACCTAGTGCATCTTTGGGAGCAAAAATTAATATAAGACACTGTCTTATTTTTGGGGAAACAGGGTACCACATTTGGTTTACTCATTCATCCTGATGGGCATTTGTTTGCACTTGTGCTGAGTATGAACAATGTTGCTGTGAACATTTGAAATAATAGTCAGTTATGAAATAATGCTAAGAAAAAGGATTTCTTGTGTAGACATAAGTTTCAGTTCTCTTGGGAATATACCTAGGAGTGAAACTGTTGGGTCATATGATAACTCTGTATTTAACATTTTGAGAAACTGCTATATTATTTCTAAAGTACCTGTACAATTTTATATTCCCATAAGCAACGAATGAAGATTCCAATTTCCTGTGTCCTTGCTAACACTTATTTTCCTTTTTTTAAAAAAAAATAATTTAGCCATCCTTTTTAGTGTAAAGTGATTTTTTAATTTGCATTTTTCTAATGACTAATGATGCTGAATATCCTTTCATGTGGTTATTGAACATTTTATATATCTTTTTTAGAGAAATGTCTAATTACATTTTTATTATTGAGTTGTAAGAGTTCTTTAATATTCTTATACAAATTCTTTATCCTATATATAAACTGAAGATATTTTTCCCATTCTGTGGGCTGTCTTTTCACTTTCTTGAAGTATAAGTTTTGAATTTTAATGAAATTCAACTTATCTATTTTTTCTTTTGTTCCTTGTGTTTTGGAGTTGTATCTAAGAAATAATGCCTAATATAAAATCACAAAGATTTACTCCTATATTTCCTTCTAAGGATTTTATGGTTTTAGCTTAATATGGTTTTTAGATTAATTACCATTTTGAATTAACTTCTTTACATGGTATGCAGTAGGGATCCAACTTTATAATTGGCATATGAATATCTAGTGGTGCCTGCCCCATTTGTTGAAAAGACTATTTTCCCCCCCAAATGAATTATATTGACACCTTTATCAAAATTCAATGGGCCAAAAATGTAAGGGTTTATTTCTGGACTCTAAATTCTTGTTTGTTGATCTCTATGGGGTCTTATACAGTACTATACAGTCTTGGTCATTGTAGTTGTGAACAAAGTTTTAAAACCAGGAAGTTTAAGTTCTCCTAATTTGTTCTTTTTCAAGTTTGTTTTGGCTATTCTCGGTCCCTTGCATTTCCAAATGTATTTTAGAATCAGGGCATCAATTTTTGTAAAAAAGCCAGCTGGGTTTTTTTTTTTTTTTTTTTTTTTTTTTTTTTTTTTTTTTTTTTTTTTTTTATAAGGAAAGCACTGAATCTATAGATGGATTTAGAAAGTTTTACCATCTTAACAATACCATGAATAGATCATAGATGTAGTGAGATGAGATAAATATTACTTTTGGCTTTGTCTGCATAGGTGTATATCCCTACAGTGGCAAAGAAAAATGTTGGGGGATTTGCTCTAAAGTCTTAACTACCTAGTTTTGCCTTTTGCTCCCTACTCCACATAGAACTTTCCTGTTGATCCCTTGCCAACATTAAGAAAATAACATACTTTCTAGTTCAAATCAGCATTCCGCAAGGTTAAAATACTTTTTTTTTCTAGTTCTAGTTAGATGGTAAGTAAAGATTCTATTTATGTCAACAACATACTTAATGCTCCAATTATATGGAAATGTCAATTAGAATTTGAAAGTAATATTGGGCCAATTGCAATGTAATAATCTGCTCAAGGGCAATTCTGAACTAACTACAGTTTGAGAGCAATCATGTCAATGACTACGGACTTAAAAAAAGAACCCACACAGAGACTTATATGTCTAAGACAAGAGCTGAATTATTT